CTGGAGACGGTGGCCGACCGCTCCACGGCCACCTTTGTCCCCTCGGAACAGTCCTCAAAGACCAGCTACAAGGGTGACCTCTTCGCCCTGCCGCCCTACGTTCTGGTCACGCAGACAAAGCTGTACATGCTCAGTGTGGAGATTGAGCGCGTCTACGTGGTGGAGGCCGCCCACCTGGTCGAGGCCCTAGAGCAGAAGGTGGTGAAGAGCTTCAAGGTGCGCAGCATGTCTTGGGCGAGGTTCTTCAGCTGTCAGCTAGAAACTGACTCAACTGCTCGGGGGCCAGCAGTGGACGACAGTGAGCCGACGCAAGCGGAGTACCTGGAGGCGGTCGGTGAGCTCTACCCTGAGGAGCCCTTTCGCTGGGACTGGTGGCTGGAGGACTACGCCGAGGAGCTAATCATCGCCGGACTGCTCTTCCTCATCTTCGTCACGCTCATCCTCGTCGCCCTGAACCGCGGCTGGCTGCCCCACCCTCTGGTAGTGTGTCTCTGCTGTGGAAGTGACCGCCGAGCGAGGACGTACGTCGCCAACGCCAGCGCCCGAAGAGCCCGCCGTCGTCAGCAGAGCCAAAAGCCGAGTAGACGCGTCAGCATTGGCAGCAACCACAGCAGAGAAGGGGCCAAGTCCTCCGTTCTTGATGGCTCCGAGAGAGCCTTCCAAAGTGAGGTGAAGCGAATGCTGCAGATTGATGTCACTGATAATAGTGGTTCTAAAAGATTGGCGCACAAGTCGACCAGTCGCTCTTCGGAGTCCAGCAGTCAGACTTCTGGCTCGGGCTCAAAGAAGGTAGTCAATTAAATGGGGTTTTCATCTTTGTTCACTCTGTTGTTTACCTGAACTTTTAGATTAAAGCACCTTCAATAGTGGTGAAGAAAACTCAAGGAGAACCAGAGAAGATCGAAACACTCAAACCAAAGAAGCTAACTGATGACCCGCACATTATGAAGTGGCAGAAAATCGCTAAAGAACGGGCTGCCGCTGCCGCTTCTGCTTCACCCACTAGTCCTTCACCTACTTCTAATTCTCCCTCGAAATGAAGAAAATTCATCTATTGATTTGTTTCCAACCTTCTTTGGTCTTCTTTGGAAGTAAAATCATTCTTTTCCTTGTTGTTTGGCGCCGCTTTCCCTTTCAAACCGCACAGGTGAGAATAGCGTGAATGAAATAGTGTTTTTGGCTGCGTGGGCTGACCGTGGTCAGAGGAGCTCTAAAGTGGGTCATTCAGCATTGCTGTTACTGTGCAGCGAAGGAGGCGAATTTCTAATTTGTTCTCAATGAGAATGAACAAGAATGAGTGCCTCGCCTTGAGTCAAAGAGAGAAAATCAGCCGATCAAAACAATCTCACTTTTGTGTTTCATCATCGGACTTCAACATTTTGATTCATCAGTTCCCTTCAGTCTTCTTGTCATCATCGCTTTTCGCCTTCAAATGAGTGCCCAGCAAATGTGACCTCCAGTAGTGCATCGCCCTTATCATTACTCATCTCTGATAATGGAAACAGTTGCTCCAAAGCCCCCTGCGGTTCACTCGGACAAGCCGAAAAAGGTGAAAAGTTCAAAGAAGAATAAGCCGGTCGCTTTACGTTTTGAAGTGGAGCTCGACCTGAGCGAGGATGCCTGCAACATCATCTCCTTTCCCGACCTTGTCCGCCGTGCGAGCAAGAAGAAGGAGTCTAAACGAAGTGACGATGCAACCGGCTCAGGGACAAATCCTCATGATCCATTCGGTGATGAGGACGAAGATGAGGTAGCCCGAATAGCTGCCCAATTCGAAGAGAAGTACGGCCGAGGGAACACCTACGAGGATTTCATCGACAAAGGCGAAGGCTACGATGAAAATGACTCCTTCATCGACAACGCTGAAGCGTACGATGAGCTGATTCCAACCAGTTTGACCACCGAACACGACGGCTTCTACATCAACACCGGTGAACTCAAGTTTAAGCCCGTCGAAGAAGCCAACGGTAGCGCTAAAGTTGTGGAAGAAACGGAGTTTGAGAAAGCTCAAATTTTGCAAAAACTAAAGCGCAAGCGAAACCGAATCGAGGACGACGATGACTCCAATGGAGACGGTCCTTTGCCTACTACAACTAAAGTGCCGCGCAAGAAAAAGGAAAAGGTTGCCTTCATTGAGCAGAGCTCATCCGCAACAGCAGCTGCTTCCTTGCAATATGACCGTCCGCCAAAGAGTTCAGCCTCAGCATCTGCAGTGTCGGCACTTGAACAGGCTCAAAACGACGCTCAGCAACCATTTTTGCCAAAGAAGTACAAGCGGCAATCACAGCAGCAGCAACAATTTAGCATGGCTGAGCAATCAGCAATGCTCTCCGCAATGGAAAAACATCAGCGAAAGATGGCTAAAGGCGACGCGTCATCTTTCACGCCTACATCATCGCCGAACGCCGCCATCACCTCAACGCTGTACGGCAGCAAAGGCCCGCCAGCTTCAGCAGCGGACCCAGTGACAATGGCCACCTTTGCTCACAACGTTATCAGCAGCACTATTCAGCAAATGATCAGTAACAGTGGCAATGCTGCGGGCACGTCAAGCGTCAATGGCGTCGGCACTTCCAGCAGCAACAATCCCAGCCTTCTGCAGCTAAAGAATGATCTGTTCTCCTGCAAAGTGCCCATTGAAATCGTGCAGACAGTTCCGCTTTCTAAGCCGCTCAGCAGCGATTGCCTGGGCTTTGAATGGGACTGCTTTCTTGTGGAGTTGATAAAGTAAGATATGCTTGTGTTTTGCTTTGCAACATCTAATTACAATACTTCTTCTTTCTTTCTTTCCCCTGTAGATGCATGAGCACCTCTTCACTGTCGCAGAAGAATCGCCACAAAATCTTCGACACGATATCCAGGTATCTTGGCTGGAAGCAGGAGCAGTTTTACGGGTACATCACCAAGAACGCCATCAATCAGGTCAATGCAGGGAACATCAGCAGCAGCAGCTACTCCTCGGCTGCCAGTGGGACCAGTAAGGCAAGCAACCGAAAGAGTCCTTCGCCGTCGGCGCCTGCCTCTGCCGCCTCGCCCAATCACTCGTACATGAGCTTGCTGAGCGGAGGTGGTGGTGGCGGCGGCAACTCCTCCTCCCTCTACAACAGCGTCCCCGGCGCATCCCTTCAGGCGGCAGCCATCGCCCAGTCCTTTATGAAGCAGAAGAAGAGCAGCACCCAGCAGCAATCGGCAGCAGCAGGCGGCAACAGTGCTGGGGCAATGAACCTGTGCACCACCAACAACCAGACCTCGGCGTCGACAACCACCACCTCCTATGGTGAAGGACTGGCGGGAAAGCTGATGGCGCCCACCTCTTCCGATCCGTCCTCACTGCTGCAGGGGCCAATCAGGAAGTCCTCCTCCTCCTCAGTACGTTCCTCCTCTTTTCGATAGAAGTTATTTACACTTTTCAAAATTCCTTCTCTTGCCCCTCTTTTCCTACTCCCTCTCTTTTCTTTATCTTCCTTCCTTTCTATCGTATACTAATGATTTTTGTTTTCTGCTTTACCGTTTCGCAAATACAGTCGAGCAAAAACAAAGCGACCGCCGAATCGCTGATCAACAGCGCTGGCGGCAGCAGCTTCACCGGCGGTCATGGACCCAACTTTGCCATGCTGCAGACGCTCGCCTCCTTGGCCAACTCCAACAGCGGCAATCCAATGCACTCGCTCACCACGACGAACAGTCGCATCGGCGGCGGCAGTAGTGGCGCTCCGATGATGGCCCACACTGGTCACCAGCTGTCTCGCTCTGGAGCGGAGCGAAACTCGCCCAGTCTTAGTCGCTCAACTGGGTCATCACCTTCGCCGACCATCATCTCCTCCTCCTCCGCCTCGACACTCTCCTCGGCAACGAATCCCAACTCACTGCTGCTCAGTGCAGTGGCGCACTCGGCAGCCGCCGCCGCCGCTGCCGCCTCCAAAGCGACCAATTCAATGGCCGGTCAACTCAACAGCAGCAGCAACATCAGCAGCAGCAGTAGCGGCGGCGGTGGTCTGAACGCCAACAATCAGATCTTCAACTCGCTCTTCACCTCGCTGCCGAACCTCTTTAGCAACACGGAGATTCTCAATCGCTTCCTCTCGGCAGACGCGGTGAACGCTTCGGCTCGAGGCGGAGGAGGCGTCAGCGGGTCGGCGCTCGGTGCACAGCACCAGCGAATGGTCAATGAGTTTGCCAAGAGCTTAGCTAGTGGTGGAGGTGCTGGAGGTGGCGGTGGCGGTGGCAAGTCTCCGAGCGTTTCAAGCAGCAGCCACAACAGCTCACCACTGAACAATTCACTGCTGATGAACGCCGCACAGATTAGTGCCCAGCACCATCAGCAGCAGCAGCAGCATCAACTTCATCGCTCCAACTCGATCTCCTCTTCGAATTCGGTGAGTGCCACCGGTCTGCCCACCTTCATCACGCCCAGTCCCACAGCAGTGGCTCGATCACTGGCCAACACCAGTGGGCCGGTGTCTAGCGCTCTTATGTCCTCCATACTCAGCGGTGTCGGACAGCAGCAGCAGCAGCAAATGCCCGGTGCTAATCAAAAGCCAAAGTAGTCTACTGCTGGCACCTTTGACGAATACCCATAAGTTCACACACCTTCATACCCTCGAATTTGTTTATATTTGTACAGTGCATCTTTCTCACTCTTTTTCCCAATTGCATGTTTAGACTTTACAAGCATTTTTTCTTTTCTTTTTTTCTTCTCTTTTTTCTTTTCTTCATTTGCATGCCGCTCTCATTTGAGCACAATGTACACATTGAACATTTTTGAAAAACAGATAAACTTAATTTGATTTGAATAGTTATTGAAGTAGGGAGGAAATTTATTTACAGTTTGGAGAGACTTAACAAAGAGTTAAGGGAGTTAGCTGCGCTGAGAGGACAAATGACACAGTAGTAGGTGAAGTATGTGGCTTATGTACAGGTATGATATGTAGTGAATGAGGGTGAACAGTATGTGCGTTTGAGATTGTATGGAAAAAAGGTCACTTGCTGCCTTCCCTCGCTTACTGAGCCTTCAGCAGGTGAATGTTGTTGTTGTCGTCCTGACTGGCGACGATCTTCTTGGCCATCGAGCTGTTGCTGCTGCTGGTAAACTTGCTGACCACAAATGGGATGACCGCGATAAAGAGATAGGGCAGGAGCAGGGACTCGAGGAAGACAATGCCGTAGATGGTGTTGACGTGCAGCGTCTCCTTCGAGATGGGAATCGCCTCGATGGCCTTGGAGGCGGCCACCGACAGGGCGGCGGTCGTCAGCTTGGCGGCAGTGCTGAAGCTGGCTGCAGAGGGCACGGTGGCCTTCACCAGCGGGGAGTGCAGGCCGAGGCCCATGCCGAGGAAGAAGCCGGTGTAGCGCATCATGCTGAAGAAGGGCGTCGTGTCGAGGTGGACGTGCTCCCGCTTGGCGCACCACTTCAGCGCCCGCTCCACCGACCACAGTGGGTTGAAGCCGAAGACGTAGAGCAGCGTCCCGTAGGTGACCAGGGCGCTGGCGAACATGGCCAACGTGCCGAGGAAGTAGGCCCGCAGGGAGAGCTTCTCCGTGGCGGCGTAGAGGCTGCTGACGAGCATCGCCACGGCGACGCCCATGCCGGCGCCCAGCAGACACTGGTGGGGAAAGTGGGCGGCCAGGTAGATCCGGGAGAGGCTGACGCAGCACAGGCCGAAGGTGTACACGGCCCAGCAGGCGGAGTTGAAGAGCGGCTTGGAGGCGGCGGCGGGCAGCTTCCCGTTCTGGCGCCAGCTGTTGGTCTTCGCCAGCAGCGCCTCCACCAGAATGTACCAGACAGCGGCGGTGACCATGGCGTGGCCAGAGGGCGAGCCGGGACCCGTTTCGCAGGTCATGAAGGTCTGCTTGAGGCCGGGCAGTTGGTTGGAAGAGCTCAGTCCCGAGGATGCTTTGCTTTCGAATTCGTGCACCCACCAGTACGGGCGCTCTCCACGCATCAGCCACTTCAGTATCTGGTTGGACCACTCGGCGATGACGGTGACCCACATCAGTTTGCGCCCGGTGACGCGGTCCAGCGAGAAGATCAGCGGCGAGAAAATGAGGAAGGCGTAGCGAGGGTCGAAAACGTTTGACAGCATGAACATCAGGTGCTTCTGATCGTCAAAGCTAAAAGAGAGGAGAAAAGAGGTTAAAATATCTGGTTGATGTTTAATGAGCTCAGCTCAACTCAATCGCTTACCTCTTTTGTATGAGCGATATCGGGTAGATGGAGTTCTTGTAGATGGCTTCCATGGTTGCGGGCTTGTTTTGATTCGATTTGTTGGGTAGTGGAAGGCTTTAGACAAACAGTAAATGTTTTGTAAAGGAAAGAGTTTGAGAGAGTTAGAGTTGTTTGAGTTTGCAGTTAGGTTTGCTTTGAAGTGAAGTGATGATCCACCGTCCCGAAGATTGGTTGCTTTTATATCTGCGCGAAACCAGTGATTTTCTCTGTCGGCAAGTGAACCCTCTCTCTCACTCGTTATCTCTCCCTCCCTCCCTCTCTGACTGTTTTGAAAGGCGCGCGCGCTACACCGCGGACAGACTTTGACTTCGACTTTGCTTCAGCGCTGTCGTCTGCTGCTGCTGTTGGCAGGCATAGCGAGTGATCACCACCAAAGCCATGTGCTCGTGCTCTGTTTATTGTGTACGTCTCCGTTTCCTCCCCCTCCCCCTTCAGGCATCCTCCTACAACTACTTCTTCTACTTCTACAACTACTTTCTCCGACGACAATCCCCTGATGGCAGTGATGGTGATGTAACCAGAGAGGCGCTCCCTCTCAATACTGCTTATCAAGTGACAGCAGTAGAAGCAGCAGCCATAACACCGAGGCACGAAAGCCGTGCATGATCACCGCCGCATTCGTGCATGTGATTCTGCTGGTGCTGGTTGTGCAGACAAGTCCAGAGAAGCCGAGAGAGGGAGAGAGTGGGAGAGCCGCCATCATGCACTGAACAAGCAGCAGTGCCCACCAACGCCAGACGAGTCATCGGCGACTGGTAAAGGCAAGCGGAGATATGTCCATGCACCGGTATAGCATCAGCATCAGCAGAAGAAATGTGCTTCCTTGATGGCACTAAACGATGCGGCGCCGGCAGCTTTGGAAGAGAAAGGGAGACAGCCAGACGACTACGAAATGTACATTTNGATGGCACTAAACGATGCGGCGCCGGCAGCTTTGGAAGAGAAAGGGAGACAGCCAGACTACTACGAAATGTACATTTGAGGACTTTGTACTTTGGCGTAGACGTAGAGAAAAGTGAGAGAGAGAAAATGCCGACAATGAAGAAGGTGACAGCACAAACCAGATACATCGAGATGCTCTGAAGGAGAGAGAGAAAGGAAAAGGATGTACTAAAGTTGTATCGATTGAAGAAGAGCCCGTCCTGGCGGATTAAGAAGCTGAAAAGGGGAGGCGGAAAGCTTAATTATCCACCTCCATCAGCTGAGTGAACTGAACTCGTGGTATGTGTGTTAGACAACAAAGCACTGCCTCATTACGTATGCAGGCGTTTAAAATTGTACGACAAAAATGTTTGTGTACGGTGACGTTGAATCTACTTTCTTTCGTTTCGTAAAGTACATTAGCGGAAAAAAGTACATTCAGGTAGTCTGAGCGTCTATGTACTCATTCATTCAGGTGACTAGCCCTCTTTTTTGCTTATTCAATCTACTTTTCTATTTTCAGTGCCCCTTTTCATGCATTCACCTCCTGCCTCAAAGTGCTCCTGTCATGCCGAGTTTGTCATCTCCNTTCGTTTCGTAAAGTACATTAGCGGAAAAAAGTACATTCAGGTAGTCTGAGCGTCTATGTACTCATTCATTCAGGTGACTAGCCCTCTTTTTTGCTTATTCAATCTACTTTTCTATTTTCAGTGCCCCTTTTCTTCCTTCAGCATCAGCTCGCATGCATTCACCTCCTGCCTCAAAGTGCTCCTGTCATGCCGAGTTTGTCATCTCAGTTTAGTTTCTGCAGTTCCTCGGTACATCTGTGTCTGGTCGTCGACTGTTACTTCAGCAGTCACAGTAGTGGAAGTGGGGAAGGAGGATGATGATGAAAGAAAATTCACCGCCAAGCACTCAAAAGTGAGTGGATTCAGGCGCTGTTCACATGTTCACAGACAATTGCAGACGGTGCAGACGACTGCTGTGCTGTGCACACAATGCACGTGCCAATTCTACTGAATTGAATGGTCGTGTCTTTACTGTGACAGCAGCAAACTGATCTTCACATAGACAGTCCCATGACAGTTCTTTGAATTTGAAGTTGGCCTACACTTTGAAGTCTGACACTCTAATGGCTGATTACATGACTCGGTGAAAAGGGTGGTGATGATGCTGCCGCAAAGCATGTTCATCTGGTGGGCGAATGATCTGTAGTGATGACATTAGCATGCACCAACTTGGTGGTGGTGATGAAGATGATGACACTACAGTCGTCCATTGCATTCACCATAGCAAGCACTGGCTGCTGCTGCTGCAGATAGTCTAACCCTTAGACCAGAGATGATCAGCAGCAGCAGAAGGGGAAAGCAATCTCACTAGTTCTGCTGTAGACAACATTGACACCATCGTGCCACCAACACAAAGTATAGCACCACCACCATCACCACCCCCCAGTGCTGGAAAAAGCTCCACTCAAAGTTTTCCACAAGTCTTATCGTGATAAAAGGGTGCCCGGGTGCAGTGCTGTGCTGTATTGGCCTTCGATCTCTGCGAAAGAAGGAGAGTGATCATCGGAGTGGAGTAGAGTGGAGACCATTTGGTGGATGCGTGTGCCGTGCACATTTGAGCCTTCAGAGGCCTCATCTTCTCTTTCATCAGACACTACATCTGTCTGTCCTCTTTCATGTCGCTGATTGCTGCTGCTGCTGTTTGTTGATGTTTTCTTCGTCGGCACCATGTTCTTGTGGATTCGGTTTCCTCGAATGAGACTCTGCCACTGTTAGTGATAATCAGTCTGTATGTTTCAACATCCCTAATTGACAAAGTGAATGTTTTGGGCACATCGCTGACACATGAGAATGACAGGTGAAGTGGTAGTGGTTGAAAACAGTTTTCATCGAACACTCGGCGGCAGTTTCTTTGATGTGAACCTGGTTTTCAAGTTTTTAATTTTTGGGAAAAACTTCAAGTTTTAAACTTTTAGTCTTTTTTGTTTGAGCATCATAAGGTCAACGACAAAAACAGGCAGTAACTTTCCATTTCTTTTGTATACTTTGCCGTCCAGCTGTACGGCAAAGTCTGTTGATAAACATGGCTTGGTGTGACTAGAG